AGTCAGGATGGGTTGGGATGTCAGCTGTATAAACTGTGTAGAGGATGGGACCGAGGATACTACCTTGTGGAACGCCTGCAGATTGAGCAAAGAGGGATGAGAAGAAATTATTTTGTTTTACTTTGAAGTATCTATCAGTAAGATAGAGCGGATAATGAGGAAGTATGTAGGGGGTAGGACTTTTCGGAGTTTGTACAGAAGACCCGGGTACCAGACTCGATCAAACGCCTGTTCAACGTCAAGAAAGACTCCCGTGCAGTACATACCGCGCTCCAATGCAGAGGAGACTACATCAACCACACGGTGACATTGTTGGATAGTGGAATGCGATGTGCGGAATCCAAATTGGTGATCAGGGATAATATGATTAAAGTCTAGGATGGGATAAAGGGGTTTTACAAATAGTTAAAACTAAAATAACAGAGGGTACCTAGACAGCTCTCTTAAGTATATTTCGTAATCAGGCGGATTGAGAAAGAAGTAGGTTTTTAAAGAGGACAGGTTTGAAAGAGAAAACTGATTGTATGTGTCGAATATCAGCAGGGATGGAATTCCAGAAGGAGGCGGTTTGAATTGCAAATGATTAGTCAAACGGAGCAGTTCGGTGAGCAGGAGGATAGAGGTCGGAAGTGCGAGATCTACTAGGACAGGATTGTATGGAGTATTTAAATTGTAAGCTATGAAAAATATAGGAGGGTCGATGAGTTCTAATGATCTGGTACAGAAAGGTATTTAGGAACTACTGACGGCGATAGGGTGGATAGAGATACTTCAACTCGGTGTAATACTGGGTAATATGCGTATCCCTTGAGATTCCGAAAACAAAACTTAATGCGCAAATGTGATGTGTAATGTGACGTGTGAACAGAAAATATTCTGGATGAGGGGTCTCCTTCCTTGACTAGCCTAAGTTACAGAATAAAGTAAGGAATTATGCTCGCTTCGCCATTTCTCTTATAGTGTTGCTAAAGCTTAGTTTTTGTAAATACAATTTTAGGAAAAATAGTTAATAAGCCAATATTAAAGTATAGGAAAGTTAACAGTATTGATTTGTATGGACTTAACTATGTTTTTGTCAATGTAACTATGGATGCTCCTGCTGTGTCGTATCGTTCTAAATTTTTAATTTAATAATAAATAACAATTGCCTGGTAGCTAAATGATAAACTTGTGAGACTAATACTGCAATGCTGAGACCAAGACCAAGACTGGCTAAATCTCTTATTGGTCTTCTATTTGGGCAAGACTACCATCTCATAATATTTTTTAAGAGTCAGACTGTTTTCTCTTCGTCGACTATTAATTGGCGGAAATTATTAAATAGCAACAAAAACATTCTGTTTTAATGTCGTTGAGAGACAAAGCAGTTAAATAAAAATCATGCATATTGAAAAAGGTTCACTTGTTCGCAGCTAATCAAAATCTCACTTGTTTTTAGGCTCTGGCACAATATTTCATGTCTTTTCATCAAAACTTTTAGAATAATCATCACCAGAAATATACAAATAATGATGTTATATTTCACAGCTGTTCTACTTTTTTTTCCAAGCGAAACTTTTATTTACGATTATAAAACATCTACCAGAAAATAGGTTGTGACGGACGCCATTAACAAGTTATAAAGGTGGTGTTATAGAGGAATGTTGATGGGGACTAATATCCCTGCCCACTCCGGCACTTCCTAATGAACTGCTGCATTCCGTTCTCAGCTGGAGAACTACTTGCAGGAAACAAGTTCCTTTGGAACGGGTATTACCTCGGCACGAGGAACAGTCTTTTGTAACGGGAACTACTCTGATTAATAATGAGTGGTGGATTGATCAATTATAATTGGTGGTACGGACATTATAGAGCATAGTTCTAATTGAACTATTTCGGTGCATATTAAAATATAATATACATATTTATTCTAAAGTATCATATATATTTTAGTCTGCCAATATATATACATAGTGTTGGTTTATTGCAAAAAGTCATTAAGAGAAATTTCAAACCTCCACTAATTAAAACCTTTAAACCGTTTTTCCTCAATGAAATCAGAACATTGTGCTACCGTGCTACCATTGGGTATAATTACACTATTTTATGCTACCCCGACCAACTATTCCTACAGATCAATGATAGATTTTTTTTTAATGATAGTTCAAAATGATGCGTATTTTATTCATTGACTTTTATAAATAAGTAAATAATTTATTCAAGGCAAACATTTAATCAAAAAGGATATATTTTTTATAAAAAATATAATTGAATTCAGATTGAAAATTTATATAATACTTTTCTGAAAATTGAATCTTATCGTATGCATGCCATTTTTTTTCAGGAAAAGCTTTGCCTAAACAGGCCTCTTGGGATCCTATTTTCTCCCCTCTCCTACCCGTCCCCATTCCATGCCGCCCTAATATTACTTACCAGTCCCCGATAGAGTTTCTCAAAGATATCTAGAATATTTACTTATTTTCTTCCTTGTGACAAAAACTTGATTTTAATATTTAAATTGAAAACTCGTGGAGGCTATACATGATATCGTTCTTTACGATGATCTGTTTCTACTAAGATGGCCTAAATTCGAATGTTGCTCAGGTGTATTGAATCTTATTTGAAAAATCCTCCATTCTTATGCCTGAAGAAAAAAAAATATTAGCTCGTTATTTTCTTCAATGATGTACTTACTCCACGTATTGCAATAGAAATAACTATATTAATGAAATATGTCTGAATTGAAAATAAAAGGACGACAGATAAATAATTGATCACTATAATAAATAAATTGAGTTAAGGATTAGAAATCCATACTCCAAATAAGTAGAGGATTCGTGATTTTTTTTTTATTCGTTGATATTTACAACTGTATTATAAAAAAATACAACTAGTAAATGTGCACACAGTAATAATACAATCACATGAAAACGCTGTTGAGAAACTGCCCATTGGTAGCACTCTAATAATATATTTACATAAGTAGATCACGAGGCCATCTTCTTTTCAGATGCCTCGGAGGGTTATCAGGGATCGAGGAGGAAGGTTTGAAACGAGAGGGTTCGGATGTTTCTGGAGTCTGTTATGGAAGGATAGGTATCTGGATTGGGCCAAATCGGAAACATATGGAACATTAAGGTCTTTTTTTTAATTTAACGGCAATTATTCAGAAATAAAATAAAATAAACTATATAACAGGTTAATTAGTTCTTCGAGGTCTTTTAAAAACTCTTATTATGGGAACAATAATGCTTTCTGAGATAATTGTTCGGGATATAGTTTTTCTTGACACATGCGTACCTTCAGTATCTGTATATGCGTTACAATTTAAAAAGAGTGCATATTGTAATTGTTTAGTTTTTCCTTTCATATTACTCATAGGAACAATATTTTTTCTTTTTGATGGAGAGGAGAAAAACTAATATTAGGAGAAAATGATAAAAGTAATAACAGTGCTTCAATCTGAAATAGAAGCATTGTTTTATAACTGTGGTTGAGTTGAAAACAAGAAGATTATTTAAAATCATCTGAAATCCTCAGAATATTTGTATAAACTAATAGTAGCATGAAACATTATTACTTGAGTATACTCCAACGAGAATTTCCTCAATAAATTATGCAAATCCGAATTCGTTATTTATTTGAATTATTTAATATGATGAACTTGTAATGTTTTTGTTGTAGTGGTCAAGACTTTGGGGAGGAAAAAAATGAATTGATTTCAAAAAAAAAAAAATTGCAATAATAAAACATTGAAGGCAGTTAGTCGAATGTTCTACATATCATGGGCGATAAATATTCAGGACGCAAGTTTTTATTAGTGCCGACGTTTCAATCCAAACATGTGGATCATCATCAGGGCTGAAAATGTTTTAATACAATCATAAAAATTCAATAATTACAATTATGAAAAATATAGTGATTGATGATCCATGAAATAGACAAATGAAATATGAAAAAAGTTATATAAACTAAAAATAATGTATATAATTAATTTATAAAAAATATATATTTTCTCCTACTAATCGTGTTTCGAGCACTGGAGGTATAAAATAAACAGGTGTGTACATTCAACATACTTTACTATTTATTTGTGTACATTCAACATACTTTCAACATACATACTATTTTAGTACCTGTTGTGTATGAAGAGGAAAAAATATTTAACAATAGTACTATCTATTAAGAAAATGTTTTTAAGGAAGCAAAACAAAAAAAAATTGAAAAAAAAGTAAAAATTTTATGAGGAGTTGATTGGGGGTGTGGTCAAATAAACATTAAATTATACAATTAGTATTATTTAATTTTTGCCGACGTTTCGACCCACTTTGGAGGTCTTCATCAGGGCGTAGGATGTAACACTGCGGGAGGCAGTTGAAACACTCAACGTTAGCTCATAAGATATACCCAAAAGGAGACTATAATTGGGTCCACAACTCCTCATTCATAGATATTCTCTCCAACGTCCTCAATGTTTTAAGGTTATGCCTGAATATTTCCTAATTCCTCTACCAAACTCATCCTAGAACTTATTACAGACTTGGAATATATTTATAAAGATCCGATTTTTCACCATTCTAATATTATAATAAAAAATTATCTCGTGTTTTCATAACTAACATTATCTCTAACCATCTCCAACAACCCCCATCCACTCCTTCTAACTTTTCTCCTCAATTCTTCACAGTGTTCCAACTGCCTCCCGCAGTGCTACATCCTACGCCCTGATGAAGACCTCCAAAGTGGGTCGAAACCTCGGCAAAAATTAAATAATACTATTTCTATAATTTAGTATTTATTTGACCGCACCTCCCGATGAACTCCTTCTCATATTATATCACTATGAGCCATCTTTACATCATTAAAAATTTTACTGGAAAAAGCTTTTAATATTTTACTGGAGTACTAATGATAGACAATTTATTGAACTTTATTTTTATTGATCAATCAAGGAAGGATGTTCATCTAAACAGTTAATGGTTCATAATAATTATACATTTTATTATTCCCATAACCATTATATGGAATGGGGCCCCGTTGAAAATACTGCCTTAAAAAGCTAAAAGCCGGTCCTTTCATTAGAATTCCCCCTTCTACCATAATTCTACTCCACCACAAAAGTCACATCAGTAAAAGCAAATTATGGAAACCATACTTTAACAGGAAGTTTCCGGAAGTGACGTATATAGCTGTGCGTCCCTACGCATTCGCCAGCTCCCACAATATGAGTTCCGAAACAAAAGTTACCTCGCCTAGTCCAGTTTTCACTAACAGCAATAAACAAATCCTTCCATTGTAAACATAAATATCGATTGTAAGTGCTGTTTCCGATATATTTTCTTTAATTGTTAATAAAATATTGAATTTATTCAAAGGACTAGTAGAATATTTTATCTAAATTTAAGCAATTTAGTTTTTATTTTAAAAAAAAAAAAAATAACCGTCATCAGATATATGCTCCCAATGATTGGTATGCCATTAATTTTATTCTAAATCCTCTATTCTAAGACCCTCATTGAAGATTGGAATAAAAAGTGAAAGATTAAAATAAATAACCTTCTACTTTGTTGTGAAGCTGTTTTTGTTCACTTTTTTTTAATAATCCTACATTTTGTCACAATACAGAACATTGGTGTTATCGATGCAAAGATTCATATGATATATAGAGACTACTCCTAGTAAAGTGATACACGAAATTATGAACATTCCGCATTTCAGGAATTCCGAATGGATAAATATATTTCAAACTAATATATATAAATATTAATATTAAGATGATAATATTAACTGTCGACTTAAGATTGAAAAATATAGTAATTTTAATGCTTGGCTCAGAGTAGGGTTGTGACAATCATCATACTAACGAAACTATAAGAAATAGCCGATAGGTTTATAGGGAAGAAAGGGATGTTGTTCCTGCCTGAACTGACAGTATTGCTTAACATAGCGCGACATTAACACTAGTTGATGCCTTCATTACTTTTTAACAGATAAAAGTAACTGAAAGATTAAAATAAATTCCGTCAAATCACCTTTATCCTTCGTCGTAAACCTATGACTTCCTGACCTACAGTATCCTTTAATAATACCCCACTTATCCTTGTTGAACAAATCCAATACCTTGGACTCCATTTAGACAAACGTATAACTTGGAATCAACATACCGCACAGAAACGACAAGGAACCGCTCGAAGTTTTAAGTTAATTACGAAAGACTCATATACATGACAACAATTAGACCTATTTGGACTTATGGAGTTGAGATCTGGGACTCCACAAAGCCAACGAATTCCTCTCGTATCGAATCCTTACAATCCTTCGTAAAATCCTTAATGTTCCTCATGTTTCCGATTTTAAATATATATGAAACAGTATATAGAGTAACGAATGTTTTTTCTCTTAATAAGTTTATACATTAGTTGTTAATTAGCAGTTACTTTGTATTTAGATAACTTTATACTGTCGAGGTGGCTGTTTTTTGTGAAGGAGTGTATTGGGTACGGTTGTGACATATTTTCTGGGTAAGGTTGTGAAACAAGTATTTTATTTTATTTTTTGCTTTTAGATACTAAAAAGCACTCGGGGATGACTGAAAGTTAATTCTTACACAAACATGTACGCCTCATTAGTTACAAGCGATTAAATTGTTCTATAATGTTATATAATGCAATAAAAGTTATTTTAGACTATTTTGTTGTTTTTTTTTTAACCTATCATCGCGGTCCCAAGCATTATCGAAACCGTTCTAGTGTTGTGGTTGGTTGTAACATTTGCCTTTTTGTTTTTCTTATTTGCTCCTATGAGCTATCCATTGTACTTAAGGACAAAATTTTACTATTTATATGTAGTCAAGTCTACATATTACTATAAAAAACAACTTTCGGATTTAGAAATAAGGTGTTTTGCTTATATGTAATAAATTTAAAATATGCATATTTTTAATTTTACATATATGAATACGTAATAAATAAATGGCAATTTTTATATTAATAGTATTTCATATTTATTTCCACAATCTTCATAATTAATTTTGTTCCAATTATCATCCTAATGGGAATTTATTTCCAAAAGTTACCATAAGAATTTTTTAAGATGAAATAATCATAATATTATTACCCACTGATTTTTAAAAAATGAGTCTATAATTCCACCCATACAATGTACAGATTCATTTATATTCTTAGTTCTATTTAATTTTCTATTTAAATACCAGTTTTTATTTACTTTGGCATTGTTTTGAGCTGAATAATTATGTTGATCAATTGAATATGGGCAAGTTCCTCAACTCAACGCTGGGCCCATCAATGCTCATCAGAAATCCATCAGAAGCTTCCTAAACTCATTGATTGATCCATGGAAAGAATTTAATGAGTTTATTTATTCATATACTGAATTATCGATAGATTAGCGGTCAAAAATAATTTCATTTCAATTTTAATTTTATATTCACTTTACTTTATATGTATATTTATTGCTGTCTAGTTGTTGAATCCATGAAGTCATTCCTAAACTTAGCATAAATTTCTGCTTATAGTACAAGATAGATTCAATTTTATTTATCGATTCAATCGATTAATGGATTCCTTCGATAGAATAAGCGCTGAGTATTGTATTGTATTTAGGAACTTACTCTACGTAAATGATAGTGTACTTTACCATTCCATTAGTTGATGTTGTTTTTAACTGTTGCAGCTGGGAGTGCGGAAGGACGTGACCCCCTCACAGGGCTGCCCCGCCCTCGGGATCACGGTGCCGACCACGGAGCACGAGCTGGTTCGCCTGGAGCTCGACCAATCAGGACACGCCCTACTCTATCTCGGCCAATCAGAGCAGCGTTCCAACGACCGCAAGCTGCGACCTACTTCCTTCCAGCCACCTCTACTCCAGTGCAACGCTCCAGAACTTCCGCCGCTGACTCACTTCCTCAACTCCTTTAACGGCGCCGCCAGGGCCTCCCTCGCCCTCCCTTTGGCATCCGTCGTCTTTCTCATCCTCTAATCCTTTCTCAGGACTCGAATTGAGGGTCTTCGACTCGCAGAGGACTGAAAGGAAACTTTCAGAGTATTCCTTTTAGCAGTGCAAAGAACTTATTGATGTGTTCTTTATTAATAAGAAAAAAAAATCTCTCACTGAAAATTTTCGGTAAGTATGTTTCCAATTAGTTATATGGTAATATTTAATATAATAATTGCAAAATGCAAATTAAACAAAACCCTGTTTGTCCAAAAAAAAAAATTAAGAATTAGATAGATTTTAATCGTGAACTCACAAACTGTCATTGCACGAACCAAATGACGATTGTTGCTCGTGACGTTTGGTTTGTCTGGCGAGCTCATTGTTGATTACTTGAAAGAATTATACTTGTTTTGTTGTAAACAGATGAAATTTCAATGGTACTGTCATCGCATTTTTAGAATTATTATTAATCAACAATTGACATAATTAATATAATGGTATTAATTTAAGCACTAATTATTTAATTATATATTTTCAAGTGGAAAAGGTGAAAAAAAACCGCTTCAAAGCAAATAAGTCATGAAATATAAAATAGTAAAAAATATAGGAGGATAATTTTTAAATAATTCAGAATGTTTTGATAATCGCGTGAGAGCGAAGTACCCTAGTGAGTAAGGTACTGAGATTCTATTCTCAAGACTCCGATTTCTTGTTCGGATGATGCAGATAAATATTCTGTTTTATCAGTCATTGATGGACCTTGTGGCCATGAGACGCTCTTGGGGCACACCCAGCCACGATAAAGTTGATAACATTAATTAACTGATTAATTAAGATGAAAAACCTGCTGGTTGAGAGTGATTCCGGCCCAACTACCTCCCTGCACAAGGACTTGAAATAATTTTTTCTCAGACAGTATTGAACCCAAGTCCCTTCAAGGATTTGTTTTATTTTTATAATCGATCAAAAAAAAAAATTATAGGATAAACATAAATATAAAAAAATAGCTTATATTATTCACAAATCATTACCAGTTTAATAATAAAGTCACACTTTACTATAGAAAAGTTTATGCAATATATTTCAATCTGTTTACTATAAATTTTGTATTTTAGATAGAATGAATAAAAATTGATTAGTTATATTTTATTGTTATTTTAAAGGTTAGGAAACACTTCTTTTCCTTTCCACGAGTGGATTTTTTGTAAAAACCTGTCTGTAACTTTAAGTAATTATCAGGTTCTTTTTTCATGATACTTTTTGCACTATCCAATTACTTTTTTTAATTCAAAAATTCATTCATGTAGAGATAAATTACATTTTTTTTCTTTTTTTTTTTAATTATTTTTATTATTTGTTTTTCCTCTCCTCTCTGGATTTAGGTATCCAACTGAAAAACTAAATAAAATCAAAAGTAAACATATTTTAAGTATTTATTTACTTTTTTTAGCTTTAATTAATTTTTAATTTAACAGATATATGATTAGTATACATTGTTTTCCTCATTAACGGTAATAACCAAATTATGAAATCAAATAGAATTTCATTAGATTTAAAAAAAAAAGTAATTTCCTATTCCTTCGACGCATTTGTTGTGTAACGACTTGGAAAATGAATAAATAACTGAATTGAGACAAAAAAAGAGGCAAAATATGCTCTACTACATTAAAGGAGAACGTTAAGAGCATTTTAACTTTTAACATTAATTAAGCGATTAATAAAACGGAGGGTCCTAAATTCTCTTCTTATTTTGTAATTTAAGTTTCTTAATTTATTTTTATTTTTTTCCTCGTGTTTTAATTTACGCTTCAAAGACTCCGGTAAAGTATAATTTCTGCCTTCCTTCTTTATAGCACTCATTGATTAAGAAGTGTTAACTTCGTGGACTCAAATTACTAGGAAATTTTGTTTTTAATAACTTCATTACTATCGAATATTTGATTTTAAACTTTAAAAAAAAAAGGTATTTATATATTTATTTACATGAAACGAAAATACATTATTAAATAATAATTTTGAATTGAAAATATATTTACACAAAAATACAAGTCGTTCGGTAAATGAACTTAGACAAAGTTAATCTAAGAAAAATTATGGATAATGGTAATAAAAATTAAACAATATTTGTTTATATTTTAAGGTTTATATTATAACATAATTATATGCCTTCGTTTTTGTCAACCTTTCAATCACGGCTACAAATATGATACTAAGTTATGACGTTCATAAAATTATACAAATATGGTACTAAATCAAGTATGATATTTAAATTACATTTCTTACCATATCATTTTTTTTTTTTAATTTTTTTTTCACTCATACCTGTCAGAAGTTCCGGCAACCACTAAGTGTGATGTGAAGGGGTAGAATATTGGTGTAGGTCATGGAATTGGCCTGAGGGAGAGGAGTGCCCAGTGGCGTACTTCCTGTCTTGAGTTTATATTTGTAGCTATTGGAGGAGATCCCTCATTCAGTTTCTTTTGAGCCTTCTACGGGTGCTATGGGGGCATATTAGTTGTGGCCATCCCTCGAATCAGTGAGTTGGTATGTCCGTGTAAGTTATTGTGAAATCTTTTGTAGTACGTCCGTATGTGGTCGTAAACTGTTGGCATTTGTATTTATGTAAGTATTTAATGACGTACCAGAGAACCTTGCTGATATTCTTGAAAGCTTTTTATTAAAAAGTCTATAGTTTACTTAGGTGAGTCTTTTTTGCTGTTCCATGTATCTGTGATGAGTAGGTTCAACTATTCTTAGGTAGGTAAGTATATCTGTTCAACTTCTGTCTGAGTTTTAATTTCGAATGTCTTGAAATGAGTGCGTATAATAGTCGGAATCTTAGGTTTATTGTTTTAGTTTTGTTCTTGGTACTAACGATTGATATTAATTAGTGTTTTTTAATCTAGTTTATCACATACAAATTAATAATTAATTTTTATTAAGAGAAAACATTTAAATTCAGAGACATTGTATTAACATTTGCATCAAATAGTCTGAGACATTGTGTAACTTAATATTATTATGTTCTATATTAATATTAATATTATTATATACATCTTTTTTTATGGAAAGTTATCAATTCAAATTAATATTAATCGCTAAATGTGAAGAGGATGTATCGCGGCTGGATGTTATCCATCTCATGACATTTATGACGTTCATTAGCTCATTAGTTAATTATTATATTTTAAATGTGCAAATGAAATATTATTCTAATTTTAAAAAATAGTTTTATCATCACAATAAAAATTATTTAAACAAAATTTAAACTTAAAATTTAAATTCAAAGTTAGGACCCCCTGCATCTGTATGTTCATTTATATAAGGAGATATTTTTTTACATGTATATATTTTTTTTGTCAATTTATTTTTAAGAAAACTAATACAAGTTCATTCTCTAAAAATTATCATCTTTTTAGTTTTGGTGAAGGTATACAAAGCTAGCTGAACTGTCAAAAAATATTATTTGGTACCCTGTCATTATATGAATCAGTAACAACAAACGTTTCCTACGCCCAGTCAACACCAAGGCTGGGTTCGAATCTAGCCCCGGATTCTTCGAAAAAAACGTATGTACTAAGCTTTGGGTTCACAGATTAACATGGCGATTTATTGTTGATGTTCAATTCTTGTTAGCAAAGAGCAGGACTTCCAGTAATATAATAATCCTTAAATCCTCCATGGGTTAATATTTTTCTGAAATTAAAAATGAAAAAAAAATGTGTATTATACCTTTTACTATAAAAAGAGTTAATATTTAAAAAAAACAAAAATAATATAATCAACTATAACCATGCCTGATCCTGGAGAAGCGATATAATAGATATTGGTCCAATATCTCAGTGTAATTATCCATGGTGTGTCGTGTAAATTTTGGATGGATAACCTACCATAGCATGTATCTTTGTTATATCACAATAAGTGTTTTAAAACAGCGATAATTTGTTTTTACGGTTGAAAATCACAGCGTGGCAGATACTTTTAATAAGATTCCTTTGATAAGATGGGTAGAGAAGTGCTAAAAAAACAGAGGCTAGTTGTGGGCTGGTGATTTGGCCGGGAATGTGCCCATATGGGTTCCTTGGAATTCCCATTACTGACTGGAATCGAATCCCTGCCTTTTATAGGATCCCTGTCCGTCTCTTCTTAAAATTGATCCCGCCTTCGAAGCTGATAACGCTCTCGGTTTGTTTCGTCTCAGTTTTAGTTTTTTTACGCTTGAAATTTACTGACTTTTGGCATCCAATTATTCATATGACACATCGCAAAAATAAAAATATATTCCTTATTTTAAGTTTTCAAGATGGGTATTTGATATGAAAGGATTTTTTTTTTCAATTTCCTACATATACCGTTATTAATTATTTATTTGATTAAAAGTGGGCATAGAAAACTCATTTTAAACTCTAACGCTGGTTTTTCTATGTAATTTTTATTAGTATTTCCGCCTATTTAGAACTAATAGAAGAAAAATCTTGATTTCGTCTCGTTATTTCTGTTGTTGGGAATTTTCTGTTATGCAGGTCAAGTGGGCAATTATAACTTTCTTATGACTTGAATATGTTTTTATCAATCAAACTTCTTCGCATTGTTAAATGTTTTGGGAAACTCGCCATCAGAAAAGCATATTCTCTGTTGTTAGATCCTTCGTCAATTCGAGAAATGATTATTGATAATTTTTCCTTTTTTAAATGATTATTATTTAAAGAACAATTTCACCCTTTCCTTATCATGCACCCTATACTGGTATAATTTCATAAAAATGTTTATTGCTTCTTTTTTTTTATATAGTTAAATAAATTCAGGATTTATCTTCAATTAATTCATTTATTGTTATTTTTACCTATTCTTTTTATTTATATTAATGTAGGTTCTATATATGTAATGGTGAATCTTAATTTATATTCTAGTATTTTTTTTCTTTTTGTTAGATTTGTTTCCTTTTGTTTCATTTTTTTATTAGAATTTTTTTCTTTTTATCACTTTTTTTTTATTTGTAATATATCAGTAGTTTATTTCTTGTTATGAGTATTTTCTTTTAT